TTGAGGCTCGCTGTTTCATTCAGTGTTTTTCGTAAAATGAGGGTGAAATATTGTGAAACACATTTTCTTAATACTTTAAAGTTATTCGGATGTTACTTTTAAGTTTTACAATTTCAATATTCAATAACTAAAAACAATTGTCTTTTCTTTACAACATGCATATGGAGCTTTCATTTTAATTATTATTTTGAATTTATTACTTTATTGCTTTACTTTATTACTTTATTTTTGTATTGGTTATTTATTTCATTACTTTTATTTATTTACCTTTAATTTTCATGCGACAGGATACTTTTTTCTCTTTTTCTTAAGCTGTTTGAAGAAAAAAAAGTATAGACACTTAAATTAATTTTTTAAAGAACTAAATAACCAATCAATAAACTCAATTAAATATTATTTCATTTTGTTTTGTATTCCTTAGCTCTTATAAGTTAAAGTAAAAAGTTAATTCAGTAATTTATATTAAAAGATAACTAATGTGACACACAAAAACTATCATATTGCACATGATATATTTGTTTGAGAAAAATGTATGTAAATCACTAGAACTAAAAGAGATAAATGATACAAATGATAAAGTTATAAGAGAAATAAAAAGAATATTTTTTAAAAAAAAAATATCTGCGGCTGTTTGATACAATAAAAATTTTAGTCAAAATTATAATAAAATTTATAAGAGGAAATATATAAAACATTTCACACACATGATATACTTTTGCAATTTCTTGGTATGATCTTCATAAATATTCTTCCTTTACAACTATTCCAACGTGACACCAGTCTGAATATCCCTCCAGGATACTTCTGCTTGTCAAGTTGCTTGAAGTAGACCACAGTGGAAGTTTATAAATCCTCCTTATTCGTAAGGCATTTTCCCGCCAATCGATTCCTTAAAAATTCCACATAAATGAAACTGCGCGGGGGGGGGTGTTGAATCTCTACTATACACAGAACTTCTTACTGGACCTTCCAATTCCACTATGTAAACAACAATTTCGTTTTATTTGACAGGAATTTTGCATGATCGCACAACATTTTAACTCTTTCTCAAAATCGTTCCGTTTACCCTTTCTTGTAGCTGTATAACAATTTTAGTAATTTTATCACTAAAAATCTGATATTTTTAGGCGCATTATGATTTGAAAATTATGAAATTATAGGATGAAGTGGCTCTTGAAGTAGTTCATGAGAGTTAATGAATTGAAAAAACTGAATTTAAAGAAGGCTGTTGTAGAATATTTCGGGGTCTACATGTGTGGATGAATGTTGTGAAATGTAGTTTACCAGTTCAAGTTTTCTTAATAGTTGGATTATCAGTATTATCAGTTTTAAAAAAGAAATTGATTAAATGTTTTCTATGACTATTTTAAGAGTATGAGAGGTCTAGGCACCTCCTGAGATCGCCATTTCACATACACTATGTTGTTCTTAAGATTTGTCTCATTATAAAATTTTGGCATTGTTCAAAAGTACTCTCTTAGCTACTTGATGCATGTACAGAGATAGGACAAGCGTAAGCGTGGTGTGAGAATCCTTGTATAAATAAACACTTGGTTATCTTTACAAGCACAGTCCAATTTTCATCTAATTAGAGGGATCATTAAATATGTGTCAGTTCTATGTTTTCTTTTAATTGATATATGCTGGTTAAGCGTGAGTATATTGACAAGGATAGAAACTAGACAATGTAAGTGGAGAGACCATTGTATCTGACTGTTATTATAGAAAATATCTGAATTAATTCTTTTTTTTTATTGTTAAAAAGGAGACAGCCTCTATTTTGAAAAGATTCAGGGCTATTTTCCTATTACAGTACCTGTCTTCCAGAATCTCGAGATGTCTGTTAAAGCTTTAACAATTACTTTGGGTTTTGCATGGCTTGCTCTAGTATAGCAGTAACATAAGCTTATAAACAAAATTATTGCATTATCGTGCTAAGGTATATGTTGATATTAAATATAATTAGGCCTAGAATTGCTTTTTCTATTACTAAGATATAAAAGTTGAAAAACATAAATAATTTCAAGAACGTTTTAGTTTTGATCAATATTTTATTTTAGGCCCGTGTGCCACAACCGAGCCAAAACCTATTTAATGTATTCAACAGCTCACAACAGTTAGTGCGATGTGGAAAGCTCAGAATTGAAGGCATGATAATCAGGGATAATGAAGTTGATACTATATAAGTGATTAGTTGGGAGGTTAATAATTTTCTTAGAAATTTTTCTATCTACGAGTAGTCATTTAGTTTGATGGGGTCTTTATCTGATACAGTGAAATATTCAATTTCAATAATATAAATAATTTTGAATATGACTTTTAATTGGAAGGTTATTGAGAAATTTGTTAATAATGCCCTTTTTACATGGGTATTAATTTATTTTAAGTTTAACATTATAATAAAGAGTTTCAGAAGGAAGTGGAAGGGAAAGGTTAAAACCAAAAAAGTTATTTTTCATTTTGCAAGTACTTATTAGTCATATGAGAAATAAGTTTATGGATGTCATTAAATATAAATTGATTCTCAAAGGGAGTCAGCGAGAGTTTAAGATTAATCAAAATTATTAAGTGTGATACCAAATTGATTGTAAAAAGCAAATACTTTAGTCCTGTTGCTTCCGAACGCTTTTTGTATATCCCAATACTCTTCGAAAAATCTGACAGATTATAATAAAAAGCATGATTTTATTTTTCTAATAATTTCGCTTATAATATGAAAATATTCATTAAATTAGCCAATAACGTAAGCAAACTATTTAAAAAAAGAATATTTTCTTAATTCATGATTTTTTTAACTCCACAATCAAATTAATATGTAGATGCTGTTTTTCCATAACCGCTTTGTCAAAGATTCGAAACTTATTCATTAATTTCACAAATATACCACATTTATAATGCTCTATTTATAAATATTTACACTTAATCACAGTTTCAAATGACTAACTAATTTATTTTATTTACTTCTGAAAATATAAATTTTATACAAATGCTTTACTGTGTTTCACGGATGAGGAATTCATACAAAAAATTATTGAAACACAAATTAATTTGTAAAAACAGTGCAAATAGTTAATTTTTTAATTTGCATTCCCAGGATATGCATATTTCTTTAATTCAAACAGCATTGACCTTTTTAATTTTACATACGAAAATATATACTATTTAAATGTATTTGTAAAATACGCAACAGGATAATGTCTATATAGTTCTTTTTTTATGTGTCAGAGAATGTGGTTACAGACATATGCTTCAATTATTCCTGCCTTTAAAGATATCATTTTTAATTCTTTTGTTTCACGCCTCAAATGATCTTGATTTTTACTTTTCTTTGGATTGCTTTTAGAATAGTTTTTTTTTCAAAGAAGTAACAATGCAACGCTAGGGAAACAGCTCTGCTTACAGAAATAAATTAATTGTATGCTTGATATGCAGAAGGTAATTAAAGAAATTCATGTATCCCTGCTTCTTTTCACTTTCAGCCGAAAAGTGATTCATAGTTTTGTTTTTATCAAATATGTAAAAATAGATCATTGTTCTGAAATTTAATACTGAAGATTACTTAAGAATAAACACATACCGTAAAATCCGGCGTATAACACAAGAAACAAGATCGAAATTTTGGGGGTGCGCGTTATACGCCGAGTATAAAAATGAGAGCTTTAAAAAAATGAGTATTAAAACAAATTTAGACTTATATATCGAAACACTGTTTACTTAAAAGAAATAACATACCTTATGAACTTTCATTGTAGTTAAAGGCATTGTAGTTAAAGGCATCAAAAAAGGCATTCTTTTTTTACCATTTTAAGGTGAATAAGCGAACACTGTTTCTTGTTACAATTAATCCATTCAGGTGATTTTCTAGGATCCAGTTCGCAACACTTTCTTCTAGAATAGGCCATTTCGTTAATTCTTTACTTAAAGCACATTTCTTCTTTGACATGTTAAGTATTGTCATTTCATTTTTTTCCACTCCCTTATGTAGCTTTCGCCAATATCAAACATTCTTGCTGCAGTACGATTTCCATTTTCTTTTGCAAATTGAATCACATAGATCTTGAAACTGGGACTGTGTTTTGCTTCGTTTACCAGGACCCATCTTTACTGCTCTCTGTTTGAAGCGTATTCAATATTATTCATAGTATCGGATATACTACAGACAGCGAGCGTAATAAGTCTCAAGCTTGTTCTAATTTATTTCAAAATTAATCGTCTGCCTCGTACATCACATGAAAAGGGGAAAAGGAATCAATGTTTATAGAAAAGCGTGGGAAAAATCCAGCCATGGCGTTGATTCGGTCCCCCACTCCCTTCTTGCGCTTAAGAGATGTATAATTCTAGAAGTATACTATTTTTTCAAAAGAGAGTCTGGAATGATTCATTCCATAAATAATGACTACAAAACATAAGAAAATTACACACGTACATTTCAAATTTTTTCGTAAAAAAGGGGGTGCGCATTATACGGCGAATATACCTAAAAATTAAAAAATACAGCTTGAAAGTATAGGTGCTTGTTATACGCCTGATTTTACGGTAAGTCTCATTTATAATTTGAATATTTTTTTTAAAAAAATTATTTTATGGGTATATTTGTAAGAAAACAGCATTTAGATTATTTTTTTCGGTACTAATACTTCAGTAAAGAAATATTTAAAAATGCTTTAGAACAACATTTATTTTCTGATTCTTGGCATCTGTCCTAAGAAATTCTTGGGTGTGTAAAAAAAAATTCTTATGATTTTCTTTTTTACGGATCGCTGATGTGCCCCGTAATTAAAGACAATTACTCGAGCACTTAAAGAAATTTGTTTTATAAAGTGTATTAAACAAAACCAATTAAATTTGAAAAATCAAAACTTTTTAACTCTTGAGTGTTAAAAAACAATAGTGATTTAATTAAAATAAAATTGAAATAGAAAAAATATTTTAATTATTTGTTTTAGCTAAAATAAAATATTTAGTAATGCTTACACGGGGAAATTTTTGCAAGAATATGTCCGACCATACCATGCTGAAAACACCGATTCTCCTACGATCACCAAAATTAAGCATCATCGGGTGCTGTCAGTACTAAGAAAGGTGACCACCTGGAAACATCGGGTGCCGTTGGCATGCTCTTTTTAATAGTTGTCTTCTTCATAGACTCCCAAGATGCAATTTTAGCTTTAAGCAGTAATACACCAACTGACTGCCTTAACACAATTCACTGCCTAACTAAAATTGCGGAGCTCATCTCATATGGCTGGACTGTGGCCTTACAGTGGGTCCCAGGCAATGAAAGAGCCGACCAAAACGTCAAGCAGAGAGCCGAGTCGGCTCACCCGGAAGTTCTCTTGACCCTCAGAAGAGCAAAGAGCATCATTTCCACATACATTGACAAATATACTGCCATGACACAAAAAACGAAGAGTTTTGGAAAGCCATGTTAAACTCTGGCCACTTTCGACCCAATCCCGAGGCACCTGGAGAGAGCCGAGGCTGTTGCCCGCTCTCGCCTAACTATCGGACATGACTTTTTGGGAGTATACCTCCACTGGTTTGGCGTGACTGCTAACGAGGCTTGCCCACTTTGCGGCCATGCCAGAATGAATGGCGGCCACCTGCTCCAATGCACTGGACTGGATGAATTCCTGGCTGATAACATCATCAGTCGGTACTGGGAAGCTTGGAGTCAAATGGCCTAGAAGCCCAGCTCGGGTGTTGGATAAATAAATAAAATAAATGTTTTACAAGGATCTATCTTACAAGGGGAGGGCACGACTAAGGAAATTCATTTGGGGACGAGACTTTGTGTAACAGTAGTACTGCTATAGGGCATTCAAACCCCAATGTAATTCCGCCGAATGGCCAGTCAATTCCGAGAAAACAGCGTTCGAAATTCATACTAAGCTTATATACAAGTTATTTTCTCCCTGATACAGCTTCGCCGTGGCACGATCGGAGTACTAACTAATGGACCGGGGTTCGATTCACGAGAGCGCCCCAAGTTCGTTTTTATTTTTTTCTCTTCAATTAATTTTCAGAATTAAATAATTTTATTTTTTAAAAAAGATTAATTGATTATTAAATGATATTCTATATAATTATAGTAACTATTTTACTTTTTTAAAACACAAGACAATTAATAGTTATGATAATAATATTTAAAAATAAAAAGTGAAAATACATTAAATAATAATAAATAAAAAAATAATAATAAATAAAAATAAATAAAAAGTACAAATAAATTAAATTATAATAAATAAATTAAATATAAGTAAAAAGTTAACTTTGTCTTACATATTTTTTTTTTATTACATACAAGAACCTGAGTGATAATTATCATGAAAACAATATCTTTATTCACAGACATCTAAACTATAAAATATTCAAACTATTTATATTATATGTGATCTATGTAAAATAATATATATCGAAACACTACGAACTCTTTTAAAAATCCAGAAATAAGCTAACAAGACTATATTGTAAATCAAAATCCGTTATCCTACTGATTTCTCATTTTATTGGAGCATTCTTTGTTTTTAAAAGAATTGTTTGTTCTTAAAAGAAAAACACCTGCTCTTTAAAAACAGCTGCCTTTCTCTTCAACAAAATCGTTTTGTTAAAAACAGAAGTAAAATTTTACGGCCATTTAGATGTAAGAAATAATTTTAAAAATACAATTAATTAGATTTTAATGACAGAAGTAATTGTAGTTATACTATATACTAGTTGTTTTTGTGTTTTAAAAAAGTAAAATAGTTACTGTAATTATATAGAATATCATTTAAAAATCAATGAATATTTTTTAAAAAATAAAATTCTTTAATTCTGAAAATAAATAGGAGAGGAAAAAATAAAAGGGAAGTTGGCGCTCGCGCTAATCGAACCCCGGTCCATTGAACAGTACTCCGATACGCTGACGATCGTGCCACGGCGACGTTGTACCAGGGAGAAAATAACTTGTATATAAGCATAGTATGAATTTCGAACGCTGTTTTCTCGGAATTGTGATTGGCCCTTCGGCGGAATTACATTGGGGTTTGAATACCCTATAGCAGTACTACTGTTAAAAAAATTCTCGTCCCTAAATGAATTTCCTTAGTCGTGCCCTCTCCTTGTTAGGATAAAGGTATATCTATGACCTATTTAATAAATAAGTATTCCACGCTTATATAGCACAGTGTTCATAATAACTTCTACTAAATTATTTACTTTCGTTATTCTAAGTTTGCTGACTTACTTTCTTTTTTTTTTTTTTTTGAATTTTAGTAACATAAAAGTTAATTATATATGTGAGGGAATATTAATGACGGAAAATATGAAAAATACAAATTACAGCAAAAAATAAATTGTGTCAATTTTAACAACTTCATACACGTTGTCAATATGTATAGAGTTATATCAAAAGAGAGCAGCAATTTAAATCTATTACTTATATACATCAATCTTTAAAAAAAAAAAAATGGAAATATTTTAAAACATTTTTTTTTTAATTTTTTCATGATAAAAGTAAATAAAATTAAATCTTATTCTACCAATACAGTTCCAAAATTTTAACAAGAAATTTCCATTATATTCTATTTTCAAATACCTTTCGATGTAATAAGTTTAAGAACGACATCTTTACATTTTATTTGTGACCACGTTCGCCAAGTGATCATGGTCATGAACTCATGTTGTAACCGAAAACTTATAGACTGCTTGAGGGCTGGCCTGACGTTTGGGTGGATGTAGAGGCTATTTCAAAAAACACTAAGACTCCTAAATACCACTAAGTTACTATTTATTTATCGATCAACTCAATGGAAGATCATCTCGATTACTCAAATCTAAATAGTTAAACCTTTACTTGTAACTCTGGATACGATCCTCCAATAATAAAGGATGATAAAACTCAGATCGAACCTTTCTTCAATTAGTCCTGATTCCAGTCGAGATCTAATCAAACTTTCCACCTAGAATTTAATAGTTCAATACGCAATCAATTAACACTAGAGTTTACGTCGGTGTCAATTGGACACCAAAACCTGTTTAATTTGTTCTCCACTAAGAATTTTTCCAGGGAATTTGAAAATTTTTCGTGACATTTAATCATTTTTGCTGGGGATTACTCAGAAATAGTTTTGTGGTTTTAAGTTAGTTATGAGATATTTTACAACTAAAAATACCTAGAACGTCCATTGGTGTCATTTCTACACCAAAGCACAATTTGTCATTATAAAAAAGCTGTCGCTCAACTAAATATTGTTCACTAAGTATATATAACATTAGTAAAACAAACTTACCAAAGTCATATCACACATTTTATTGACCCTGAATGTACTGTTATTGAGTTCCCAGTAGAAATGAATTAATTATACTAAAATTGTTGTGTCTAAGTGTTTCGTTACATAGTATTTGCTTATTTGCTCATAAAAAATATTCCATTTTCGAACTTAATGCATAGCTGAAACCCTGAAACGATGGCTCTTAGAAAAAGTCTAAGACTTGATGAAAGTTCTGATTTGTCGTGCGAGCTTTCTGAGAATGAGAATCGGCCCTAATTTAGATTCCAATGAAGACATAAGATTGAATGAAAGGGACTACGAAGAACCTGAAAAATTGTAAATATCATATATTTTAATATTTTTTATTGATTCATATATATTAATATTTTTTTTAAACATGAGTTCAAAATTTCCCAAATTCTTTTTACACTTTTTAAAGATAAAAACAAAATCGGTTCTTAAGTAATTTTTAACATCCTTCAGACATCTCTGGTTTAAAATAAGAAAGAAAAAAAAAGATATCTTATGTTTAATTGTAGGAAATGTAGGTGTAAACTTTACGTGAAAGATTTAATTTTTTTTTTTTCATTTCAAGTAATGAAAACTCAGATCAGTACAAAAATCTATCGGGAAACCGATTACGTAAACTACATAAATATTCTTATGTAATATACATGTCTAGGAAAATGTGAGTTATATTCATTCTTTATTATTAGCAATAAGAATTTTGTAGTATACACATATTATTTTTGTGCTACTTTAAATTTAAATCATGACAAGTTACTGTTATAGCTCATTTTAGGAAATACACAACCGACATATTCACATACTTATATAGTTTATTTCTTTAAAAAATATATATTTTGTTCACATATACTTTTTCCTTAGAATTCTAAAGATGTTAAATAAAAAATGTTTCTCACATGATAAATGTTGAATACATAAACTGTAATCTATCATCATTTGTCTCATGGGAATGGTTATTGCTCAAAATGAAAGCTTAACTGGAAAGCTTTCATTGATGAACGTGAAAGTTTAGGTGTGTCTTCCTCATATTATTTAGATAAATTTATGTAGATGTATTATTGGAAAGAATGAAAAAAGAAGAACAAAAAATAACAAATTTTGCCATGGAGCACAATACCGGGAATAAAGTTGTTTTATAACATTGGAAAGCATTTTAAAACATTGGAATATGAAACAAGTGTCGCGCAGGAGTTGTTTATTTTCATATCAGTTAGAAGTACGGTACCTGCAGAAGACATGTGCCTTTTCGTATCCACAAAAAGAAATCCAGCCATCCCAGCCAGGAAGAAGGCATCATATGAGTTTACTGCTATAACAGCTTAAAGGATCTTTCGAAAATAAGTAATTAGATGTTGGAGATTAGGGCTTTAGGACTGGAAACTGTTTTGTGTATTCCGTTGTCCAGACTTCCCAATAAAGTCTGTTTGTACTGATGTCGTGATCATCGTAATTTGACCAATCAAGACCGGGCTAACATATTATTCTCCGGTGAGAGTAGGTTAAGTATTTGGTCTGATTTTAGACTTCATTTATCCGGGGTGAGAGTGGCATTGTGTATACGAACCAGAAAAAAATTCAGGAAAGGAACTGGTATCTTACAAGCAGCTTCACGGTACGGTCAAGCATAAGTATCAATGGCAAGAACCCTCCCTTTCTTGTGCTTCAGACTGACACTATCGATAGTCAACCACACATTAATGAAATAATTCCGTACTGTGTTTACCTTATCATTGGTGCTGTTTTGGAAAAATGTATTTTACAAGTATACAACAACAACATGTCATCGTAAAGACATTGTAGAGGATTGTCTCAACGACTTGTGGGGCCAGC